CTGACGGACAGATGTAGGTACGCGTGCACTATGCAACCAGACAGGAGCGAGATGGAGACGAGGGTGGGTGTCTCGGGGACGGCGTGCTTTTGATGCCAAGGTGTCGTGTCACCGTCGCTCCTTTATTATCCGCGAGATTCCACTCTTGGGACATGGAAGGCCTCGTCAAAAAGCGTTGGGACAGACGAGTTGCTCCAAGCAAAAGGAGAAGAAAAAAAGTCATCTGCCATTGGGCAGGGGCCGATAGCCATCGTGGCTGACAGGGGTGCGGGCGAGCTGTGGTGGTGACGGACCTGTTCGGGAGGCCCGTGGGGTGGCATTTCATGTTCTGGAAGGCCGTTGATTGGCGCTTCCATGGATTCCCGGCGTCCTGGAAAACCTGGCGCAGCGGGCGAAGCAGGGGTGCTGGCCTTGCAGCATGCCCGACAGGGCACATTGTCCAAAAAAGAGCTTCCCGTTTCTATGCATTTATTGTATTGAAAACCGGAAGCTCATTTGCGGAACCATGCGAGGGGAAACGTCGATTGCCCAAGGACCTGCCGACGCCAATTGAAGCCTTCGATAGGTCAGCAGACCACGCTGCTTCATAGGTGCCGACCTGTCTTGGTGCCGCTTCGTCTTGTTTGTGCTGTCAAACCGGTTTCGGGTTGCTTGTTACCGGCAAGCTCGTTAGGTGCATCAGCATGATAGGGACCTTACGGCAAAGCAACCCGTCGTCGGAATACTACCTATCAAGGAAACTGTGCGAGTCGGATTGCGCAACGCGATCGCTCAGCCGAACGCAAGAGGCTGAGCAGATCTGTCGGAGAGATCCGGGCCAGCACCACCGGAGCCTCGATATCACGGCAACACGCGCCCCGCCATCTCACTGTCATCAGCACACCGCCCCACGGCCTGGACAAAAGCGGAGCAGGAAATGAGACTGCAACAGACCGGTAGTTCTTACTTTCCGGTTCTTGTGTCCAGTATTGGACTAGTGACGTGCTATGAGTACAGGCAAGGTAGACACGCATGTATTCGACCACAGGTTGATAACATAACCTATGTGTTACAGCGAAGAGGTGAGATTGTGCCCTCCTAGACTCTGCACTTACAATAGTCTACCGGCGATATGCCCGTCTAGGTCGTGTTCGGAACCTGTCCCAACAGCGCCTGGCCCCCTTCCGAATTTCTCGGCACAATCTCCGAAGCCTTTCCGTCCCCGTCCTCCATTTTCCAATGTTGACTACCTCTCCATTGTCCTCAGTACCGCGCCCCTTCTCACCCTTCACGCCCCCCGTACAACCAGTGATATCCTCGTATACCTCTCTGACACCAAGTCCGCTACCATCTTTCGTCTCCTCCTTGACCGGTTCGATCCTGTCCTGTTCCTCCTCCAAAGTCATGGGAGCATCGCCGCGCTTCTCGTCCACATCCCCTTTCCCTGTTCCCACGGCGACCTTTGCCTGTTCCCCGTTGACTTCTCCGCTGCCTTGGATTTCATTCTCAGTCGCCTCGTCAGTCACTGCTTGTTCTTCTGATGCTTCCGACTCGTCATCCAATTGTCTCACGTCCAGCCTTGACTTTTCAGACCCAAACGAGAACTTTTTCACGGGCTGCTCTGGGATCCTGAGCCTATCCGAGACTTGGGGACTCAGAGTTAGAGCCGTGCCGGTGCCCTCTTGGTCTGCTTCTCTCGCAGACGATGGGAGATGTTGTTCTTCCTCCTTTGCCGGCGAAGAAGCACGCCGGCATCTCTCTGATGCCGAATCGACTGGAGCGGAAGAGGTCCGGTCAAAGTCCCGATCCCAAAAGCAGACATCGTTTGCCAAAAGGCTTATCCTGCGGCTTAGATCCCGCTCAACACGAGCATAGCGCAATTGGCCCACGGACAAAGACTTGGCCCGTTCTCGGCCATGGGCGGGTGTTCGGGTTGGCGGCAATGGGAAATCGAAACAGGGCTCGATCCCGGCCAAGGAGGGAGCAGGGCCCTTGGTGATGGAGGCTGGGCTTAGGACGTCGTCGCCCAGGGTCGCCATGGTGACTGACTGATCAAAGAGAGGGATTTTCGGGTCGGAGCTTGCCAGGTTGGAAGCAAGCTTGAAGACAGCCTGCAAGCCTCGAAGCTGGTTTCTCAAGCTCGTGACAAAGTCATTGTGAGATCTTGCGCATTTGGCTGGACGGCATCACGCCTTGGATGCCAACATCCTGTGTGATGGACTTTCTTTCCCAAGGGTATTCAGGGAAGTAAAACCTCTACGCAGTAATGCCGCGGGGTTTGAGCGCCACCACAGGAGCCCAGCCTCCGATGTCATGATGGCGGGTTTGCCGATGCAAACGCAAGCCTGAACATGCAAGAGACTTGAAATTGAGCAGCCAGCTTGTGGGAGGGAGGGAGGTTGCCTTACTGTAAACAAACATGTCAACGGGTGAATGAACATAAAATTCGACCGTACAAAGGATGAGCCGCAAAGCGATCCTCCAGGGGCCGGGAGCCGCGTAATAACCTGTAGCCCACAATGTCTCCGAAGGGCCATGAGCTGACGCACACCATGTCTGCCTCGAGCAGGGTGGGCTATAAACCACATCCATTTCACTTATCATTACCGCCCACTTACACCGCAACCTATCAAAACCATCATGGCTGTGATCGAAATCGCCGTCCTCCCTTTTCGCCCCGAGCCAAACGACCCAGGGTTCCTCACCCCTCTCAGAAAGGGCCTGGAAATCCAGACCAAGTGGATGGCAGACACACACCCTGAGAAGCCCTCACTTAACAACCCCATTTCCGTGTGCTACGGGAGTGTCAATGAACCTTTGGAGTTTATCATTGTAGCGAAATGGGAGTCACTTGAGGCACACAGGGAATGGGTCCAGAGCGACGAGAACAAGAGCGTCATGAGTTCACTTTTGCCCTACCTTGCCGATACGGATGGAGTTTCCCTGGTTCACATTGATGGGTCAGAGGACGAGTCTACACCTCTCCCTGATAGCCCGTTCGTTGTGGTTGAGCGCTTGCTCGTCCAGGGCGGGAGGAGAGGGGAAGTGACGGGCCGAGCTGGGGCAGCGAAAGAGCACATCAAGGCTGTAGCAGCTGGGAATCGCGTCCTCGGAGGCTGGCGCGTGGATGGAGAGCCAGGCGGAACAGAGGAATTCGCGCTCATCAGTAGCTGGAACGAGGTTAACACATGGGAAAAGGCCGTGGACCGTCCGCACAGTCACTTCATGCCGGCGGAAGCAACAGCCAGGGCGTACAAGCGCGTCCAGTAGAGCTCGCAACAGAAAGGACACATAAATGTTGGGATAGACCGATGAATGCGATTGTCCTTTCGTTTCTGGGGAAGAATGAGCACCCGCCGAGCCAGTTATCCCGGCGAGGCAGCGTCCCCGCATATCCTTCCTTAATTCCCGAGACGCCGTTGTCGTTGAGTTCCCCAGTTGAGTTGTCCCCGTGTCAAAAACCATCCGGTGCGCGGGAACCGGCAAAAATGCAGATGCAATGCATTTCTCCTCTCTCGCTCATCAAGCCTGTGAAAACGAAAATAACCTTATACCGCCAACCCCTCAGTCATCAAAGACGTCGTCCGCTCATGACGAGGCCTTCTTGTTCTTCTTGCCGACCTCGGAGATCTGGAGGCCTAAATTGCAATTACTTGTCAGTTTTTCCTCTCATTCCACTCTTTGTCTGGTTGGTGGCTTCGTACTGGGAGGGAGAGACTGCTTGAGCTTCTCGGCCTTCTCGTTGTCCTGAAGGACAAGAGTGTAGAGGTGTCGCTGGCAGCGAACCTTGAACTTGATCTGCTTGGAGGTCTTGTTCTTCTTGATTCGCGCGGCTGCAAAAAGCACAAGGTGTTAGAATGCCTTTTTTTTTCTCGTTCGGAAATCGTTCAAGGTGGTGTGCTTGTCGGCGGGTCTGGTAGGAACATACACGAAGCGTCCTTGCGCCGGCAGATCTCGATGAACTGTTTTGGAAATTCGTTAGTTTGAAATCTTCAAATGAACAAGACGCCGGTATAATCCATACCTTCTTGATATCGGCGATTTCCTGAGGCATTTTGGCGGTTTGTTGTCGTTTCCCTGTGTTGGTAGGTTCTCGATTTCAAGGGCGCCGGCTTTCAAGAGTCAATGGGGGGGAATTTTAGCGATCTCGAAATAATTTTGTGTGGGCGGCACTGGCGTCCGGGCCTGTAAGTGGGCTACCCCACACTGTGTGGTTAGGGAAACCTGCTTGGCAAATGGCCCAAGCTCCCAGCTGGACGAAATGTCGCTGTGGCTGACGCGTTCTGTGGCGTCATCATCATCACAGGCCATTTGAAGTTGGAAAGGACAGTTGGAGAAAGCTGCCAGTTCGCCACTCGATTTTGTTTATATCCTGTGTTTACTTGTGCTGTGGGAACACTCCATTGTCACCAAATTGCACTTCACTAAGTGTTACCACTTTATCGTTGACACCGCAAAGATGCCGACGCCACTGGACAATGCAATGAGATCAAAGGTGAGATTTACCTTGTCGAGTGCACCAATTTGCAGATGCTAACATGAAACAGGGTGCATTCTTTGGTATGTTGGCAGTTTGCGCTCACAGAGAAAGCGACTGCTAACTTGAGGAGCCTTTACTGGCATGGTAGCGGGTGCCGCCATTTGGGCCATCTTGGGAGGAGACATTTTCCCAGCGCAGGAAGACCCAGAAGGAGACCCTGAAACCTGGACTGAAGAAGAGATGCGAACTTGGCTGCGACTTGTATGTTTGCATGACTTTACAATGCATGCTGGCTGACCCATCCAATAGAGAAAGCTTCACCCCCATCGTTCAGCGACCAGAGAAGAGTTGCTCGAACGGATCAGGGCGAATCTCAGAATACCAAGGCAGGGATAAATGGGGTTCTCTGTGGCATTGCGGAAATAACGAAAAAGAAACGATTTAGCCTCATCCTTTTCGGCCCCCTTATGTAATAATACCCACGAGACTCACTGAGGGGGTATCTTCATGTCACAGCATAAAGTGAGAAAATAGCAAAAACTGGGCGCCCCAGGAATCGAACCTGGGTTTCTTCGGGGATGCTGTAGACCACAACGAAGTGTACTGACCACTATACTAGGCGCCCTGTGCCTTGTTGGGGATTGGAAGGAAAATCTCGCATTTAGACTCATTGGTTGTGTGGGCGGTTTCGGGCCGGAATCTGTGGGCGGTGTGGGGATGCCCACTTGGGGCTGCATGCGCCTTGCAGCAGGGAATTGGGCGTTGAGGACGGTATCAAAGATTCAGAGCTGTTATCAATATTCTGAGGTAGAAGGGTACATTTAAGTTTGTCAATCCGATTGAATTTGCCATTTCATCCTGAGATCAGGTTGCTTGTGGTACTCGAGACTCCGGGATGTGCTCTCTTCACATTGCCGGCAAACAAGGTTCCAGCTTGCCCGGCTGAGGATTTGCGTGCTCCCATTGATAGAGATAAGACAAAACTATAAAAGATGAGCGTGTCAAAGGAACAAGACTCGTCCAAACGGAACGAACTCAAAGAATGGCCCGAGTTCAAGGAAGCTCGGGGCACAAAGGCAGCACTGAGAAAGGCTCGGAGAATTTTGGCCAATGAGAACGCCGCCGCAGGGCGAAGCTAAGCCTTGCTGCCTGCAGGCGCCGAGGCGGGCATTTGGAACGCGCAAGGACAGCTTGCTGTTGTTCACCTGTTCGCGGGGATCCAGCCGGAGAGTCTTCTTCCTTGCATCGTCTGTCTGCCCTCACCAGCCCAGCAGACAACCAATTCGTGAGCAACCATGGATATCCTCCATAATGCTCTCCAGGTACGCGCGCTCTCTCCGGATTCTGCAGAACGAACCGCAGCTAACGTAGCTTCCCGCGCAGCGCCTTGCGCGCTTCGTCGACCGCCCCCTCTTCCCGTGGAAGAAGTTGATCGTCGGGTTCTCGGTCGCCCAATTTCTCTTCGAGGGCTTCCTGGGCCTTCGCCAGTACCGCGTGCTCCAGAGGACCAAACCTCCCAAGGTCCTGGAGCTCGAAGTCTCCCAGGAGGTCTTTGACAAGAGCCAGGCGTATGGCCGCGCAAAGGCCAAGTTCCAACTCGCCGACCACCTCTACAGCCTCGCCACGAACATTGCGTTTATCCAATTCGACATCCTCCCCAAACTGTGGTCCTGGACGGGTAGTCTGCTCCTTCAATTCGCGCCCGCTCGATTCACCGGTGAAATCTCGCATTCAATCGTCTTCATTCTCTCGTTCCTGTTCCTCCAGCAGATTCTGTCACTCCCGACAAGTGTCTACCATACTTTTGTCCTCGAGGAGAAGTTCGGATTCAACAAGCAGACACCGCAATTATTTGTGGCAGATATGGTCAAGTCGAACCTCCTCATGGTTGTCCTTGCACCGCCCATTCTGTCTGGTTTCCTCGGCATCATCCAGAAGACCGGTGACCAGTTCTTCTACTATCTCTGGATGTTTGGCGCCGGTCTGCAAGTCTTCATGATCACAATCTACCCCATTGCCATCCTGCCGCTGTTCAACAAGCTCTCTCCACTCGAGGAAGGGAAGCTCAAGACGGATGTTGAGGACCTCGCCAAGAAGCTCCAGTTCCCCCTCCACGAGTTGTACGTCATCGATGGAAGCAAGCGCAGCGCCCACAGCAATGCCTATTTCTTTGGTTTGCCATGGAAGAAGCACATTGTCATCTACGATACCCTGATTGAAAAGAGCGAGACCGAGGAAGTCACCGCAGTTCTTGCCCACGAGCTTGGTCACTGGAAGCTTGGCCACACTACGAAGCTCTTTGGTATCTCCCAGGTACGCACCCTGGCTCATGTTGTTTGAAACGATACTAATTGTCTTTAGCTGCACTTTTTCTATATCTTCTCCCTCTTCTCGGCGTTTGTCAACAACAAGTCTCTCTACTCCGCTTTCGGTTTCACTACCCAGCAGCCGATCATCATCGGGTTCCTTTTGTTCTCCGACATTCTGGGCCCCGCAGACCTTGTGATCAAGCTCTTCCTCAACATCCTGAGCCGCAAGTTCGAGTTCCAGGCCGATGCTTTCGCCAGCAACCTCGGCTACAGCAACGAACTCGCTCGGTCGCTGATCAAGCTCCAGATTCAGAACCTGAGCACTATGGATGCCGACTGGGCATTCGCCAGCTATCACTTCTCGCACCCCATCCTCTCGGAGAGATTGAAGGCACTCAAGTGGCAGCCGACCGAGAAGGTGGAGACCAAGGGTGAGAAGACAGACACCGCCACCACAACAGGCAGAGATGAGCTCTAGTCCAGCGATGACAACGAAGAATCTGACAACGATGACGAGCAATGGTTCGACTGCGACGAGGAGGTCTGGCACTCATGCCATGACTGTGCCGCAGAAGGACACATCGCTGAAGATCCCTGGGATGCCTGGCATGCTGCCGTCGCTCGGATGACACAGCGGCCTTGATACCAGTTGGGCACGGCACCAAAGAATCTCGGGAAGTCTTGAACTGCTTAAAGTCGCTAAGCAGTCATCTCACGCCATTTGGCAGATCTGTGTGGTAGTTTCACAAAAATGAAAGTGTCACTATTCTGAACAACTGGCCTAATGCCTAATCTTGATGTGAAGACTTGCTCTACAGTGACTTAGGTCGAGTGTGACCTGAAGTCAACCACACAAAACTGCGTGATTCGTGATGGTGGAGTTGAGCGAATTTTTGCAACCGGCTTCAACAACTCGGATGGTCGGATGGTGTAGTTGGTTATCACGTCAGTCTAACACACTGAAGGTCCCCAGTTCAAACCTGGGTTCGATCAAAGAAGCCTCTCATTATTGAGAGATTTCATTTTTGCACTTTTTTCTGCGATCGTGATGTGATTTTTTAGTGGTGTTCTCCCGCCGCGGCCCCTTCCCCTGAATTTTCAAGCTCGGTCCATACCAACCCCTGTCACCCGCCAGCTGTCAATCCACCCGTTGCCACTCGTCAACACAGGCCAAAAATCTGGGACCCTGTCAGCTCGCGCGCCTTCACCCTCAACTCCAAAGTCCAAATCATCAACTTCTACAGACGGCACCCCCAAAACCACAAAGATGCCCCGCCTCCCAACAATCGCACCGCTCCTCCGAGCGGCAATTCAACCTCTAGCCCCCCGCCTTCCCATCCGGTACGATTCCCATCCCCTCTCCGTACCAACCAACCAACCAAACTAACAATCCCAAAGGTCCTTCTCTCAGCTCCCAACCCTCCGTCCAACCCTCCACTCCCAAACCAACATCTTCCGTTCCCCGAACCCCACCCTCTTCCCGCTATCACCCACATCGGCCTGCGTGGAAACGACAGGAGTAGGAGGAGCAGTAGCAGACCTCGTCCCGCAATCCTCCATCTCCGCACACCCGGCGTTTGGCGCGCTCCAGATCCGATGCGGGCCGCGACCGACCATGTCAGGCGCTACGCGACTGATTCAGAAACGAAGACACGGGTTCCTGAGCAGGGTCAAGACTAAGAATGGGCAGAAGACGCTCCAGAGGAGGAAGACGAAGGGGCGAAAGAGGTTGTCATATTAAATCACGAGCGGTTTGTGTCGGCCGGAGATTTGAGTCGGGAGGCAGGGACGGAGAGGGAGGGAATGGCAAGGAGAGAGGGATTTGGGTCGACAAGTGGCTTAGGTCGGCGGGGGTTTACGTCGACAGGGGAGTTGTGTCGGGAGGAAGGCAGAGAGGGGGGGATGTGGGGGGCGCCGCTGTATGATGGTTGTATTATACGAGAGGGAGGAAAAGAGGTAGAAATAAGAATATACCCGACTTCCGTTATAGCTATGGTTTTGGGATGGGTTGGGTACATAATTGTGATGGCTCCGCTTGGGTATGGCGGATCGCGAATGTGTTTGTGCGGTGGTTTGCAATGGGTTCCTTTTGGGTGAGAGTCAAAGGATATCACTGGCCATGAAGGCAAGTTCTGGACGACTTGTCGGGTATTGGGTCGAGTCGCATGGTTCCAAGGGCAGGGTCCTCTCAATATCAGATCGGTTGATACCATTGGAGGCCCAGACTACAAGGAATGCTTCACGGCCTACCATTAAGGACCATGGGTTTAGCATCTACTGATCTTGGGCTATCCCACCACAGTCCCTTGGGGAAAGGGGCAGCGGCATCCAACACAACACACATCACGAACATCAATATCTCGAAGCAGGTCGCATTGAGCATAGACACTAACATTACTCGAAAGCAATACTCCGGGTACTCCCACTGACCTTAAACAACAAACTTCTGCCCCCCTTGGCAGACCAAGTCATCTGTCCAACACGCCAGCCCCAACTTGTCGCTAGCCTCCCCAATCCAAATGCCATACTTCCCATCAACCTTGGGCACAACCCAGTTCTGCGCCCTAACATCCCACACACTCAGGTCCTTCCTCGTCAGCCTCAGCTTGACGGTCTGCTCCTGGCCCGGTGCAAGGACGTCCGTCTTCTCAAAGTCTCTCAGCTGCACCACCGGTGTATCCCATTGAATGCCCTCGGGGAACTGCACGTACGCCTGCACCGAAGCCTTCCCTGCAAACTTGTCTCCCACATTCTTCACCGTCACCTCGACCTCGTATGCAACGTCCCACAGCGCGGGATTACCTCCCTCGCCACCACCTGACTCTGGACCAGCAGTCTGGGTCTCTGAATATCCTGCGGGGTAGACATACTTGGTCTTGCCAGTGCTGCCAATTGCGTATGCCTCATTGGCCTCCTTCTCGGGAATCCAGGAGTAGATGAAACGCCAGACCTGGGTAAAGTTCAGGGGGTTTGGCCACGTGCCCTCGGCAGCAGGCGGGATGGTTGTCGAGTAGACCGGTGTTCCGAGCTTCGGTTGGCGGGGCGGTGAGATCGGCGAGAGCTCGACGACACGCTTAATGTTGGCCGATGTGATGTTGAAGCTGGTGTAGGAGAGACCATGGCCAAATGCATAGCGGGGCTTGATCTTGTTCTTATTCAGGTGACGATAATCAATGTAAAGACCCTCGCTGTAGGTGTCTTGAACCTGTCCAAAGGCAAATCCGCGGAGGTTAGAGACGCTATCGGGAAGGTCGGTTGAGGCCTTGACAATAGAATAGGGAAGGTGGCCAGACGGTGACACATCGCCAAAAAGAAT